CGGCGAGGCCCCCCTTTCCCGGCTGCGCGGGCCGCCCGGGGCCCCCGCCGCCGGCGCGGGGTCTCCCCCATGGTGCAGCGGAGTTCGGGATGTCGAAGACGCTGAAGAAGAAGAAGCACTGGCTCAGCAAGGTGCAGGAGTGTGCGGTGTCCTGGGCCGGGCCCCCGGGCGACGTGGGCGCTGAGATTCGAGGCGGCGCCGAGCGCGGCGAGTTCCCCTACCTGGGGCGACTCCGCGAGGAGCCCGGCGGGGGCACCTGCTGCATCGTCTCGGGCAAAGCGCCCAGCCCCGGGGATGTGCTGCTGGAGGTGAACGGGACGCCTGTCAGCGGGCTCACCAACCGGGACACCTTGGCTGTCATCCGCCACTTCCGCGAGCCTATCCGTCTCAAGACTGTGAAGCCAGGTACACCAGCCCTGCCTTTCTGTCGCGGGGATTGCGGGGAGGTCCGGCTGGGCATCCTGGGAGCCGCGGCCTCTCCCCACTGCCAGTCGTGGGGTGAATCTTAGACCTCCAGGGTGTGCCGGACTCCCTGGGGAGGGGGAGGGGTGGCAGTGGTGTTTCCCATTTCGCCGTTGGAAAAACTGAGTTCGGGCTTGGCAGGTTACTCTGCGAGCTGTCAGAGAATCACGACCAGCATCTGGCTTGCCTAAATTTGTAGCTCTGTCTCCCACCGCAGAGTTTTTGACTCGAGAGAAAACCAGCCCTTTTTTGCTCTCCTTTGTGGAAAAGGACTTCACGATTGTAGCATTGTCTTTGGAACAGTCTTCCGCATAAAAACTACTGAGGCACTTGGTGCCAAGGTTACCACCTAGTGTCCCTGGGAGCGCTTAGCTGCTTCAATGTTTCTTGACTAGCAACACCTCGGAGCTGCCAGCCTAACTCTGCCAGCCCAGGTGGTTCAGGTGTCTGGGCACCGATGGCGTATACAATATGTGATACGTGGCCGAGTGGTGTGTTCCTGTAGGGAGCTGTTGAATAGTCTGGGTTTCGAAGGAAGACCTAGGTGCTTCGCTTTTTGTAAATCTTTCATTTTAGAGAATTTTGTTGAAGTGGGTGAAAAGGGCCCCTCTGTTGCCCTGGCTTCCTGGATGCTAGTAAAATCTGCAAAGCACGTTAATACTTATGGCATTCTTGCTAGTTTAAAGCATTGATCAGACTGAACAGTGAAATCCAGTAGTATGTAATAAACCTTACGTATTTGTAATCTACAACAGTGTGGGTCGGTTTCGGCATTGGTAGAATGTGGTTCTGTTTTCTGAGATGTTCGTAGGAGAGAATTATGACTACAACGTTATTAGAAATCAAGCTATTTTTTTATTTTTGCTGAATGTGCTCTACTGAACATATAGTGCATCAAAGTATAATGGGTTGCATAATTGTCATTTGGGCTAGAAAAATCATTCCATCTCTTTACCACAAAATGCTGGAAAATTCTGGAGAAAAATTTAACCTGTTATCTCCACGTTTTGTTTTTTTTTTTCCTCAACAGTGCTTTAATACTCTTTAATACGCCTTGGGCTTAATGGGAACTGATGGTTTATGGTGCAGTATCCCTGTGTGTATATATTGTGAGTGTATACACACACTCAAATATTCCTGCAATCTTAAGATTTTCTTCATATAGTCTGTTCTGTAATATTCATTTTAAGCTTATGGGTTTACGTGAGGTTTTCTTTTTGTTAATTAAAAAAAAAAAAACTTCGGCAGACTTTAAACATCTTTTTCTGTATAGTTTTGTGAATTCAGAAATCCTTAACTCAAAGTTTTAGAGCCATATGTGAAGGGGAGAGGAAAGGCTTTGGGGCTGTAATTCAGCCAGTCAGGCATTGTCTGTAACATGTAAAATACAATATATACAGCACTTACTGGTCTAGGTGCCATTTAGTTCAAATTCCATGAGTCAGGGAATAATGAAAACATCTGCATCACTGCTTTGTGTTTTGTTTTGATTAGTTGGGGCATAGATGCAATATAAGTATTTTCAAAAACAGTTTAGAAGTTGATTGTGGAGGAAGTTGATAGAAGACTGGGGAGATGTATCTTTAATAGTCTGGTCTGCATGTTATACCTTTTCTCAACGTTTATACCAAATTTAAGGAAAGTTCAAATTTAGAGTGTATTTACTAATATCGTGTTGAGTAAACATCATATCCCCTAGAATGTAGTTGACATTTTTATAGTAATAAACTATTACTCCTTAGACAACCGTGGATATTCTGTCCTATTTTAAAAGTTTAGCTAAAAGAAAGGGAATAATTTATATTAACGGGAATAGGACATTTTGTAATCATTAATAATAAAAATACTACACCTATTTTTTATAGATACACTCTGCTTCAGTAATTTCTAAAGGATGCCATCTGAGATTAATATTCCTGTTTCTAAGCAAGTTGTAACGAAACAATTTTAATTTCTTAAAAAGTAATATTCTTATGTTTGGATAGCCTCATGTTAGGCATTATGTTAAACGGCTTTACTTAAACAACATTTTTTAAAAAAAATAGCGATATTTTTGCAGGTTAGGCACATGACTTTAAATATTAGAAATTAAGGACTTGAAGAGGGTATTCATAGAACTTTGAGTGTGATTAAAAACCACACTTAAAGAAGACAAAGATTCTGTAGTGTTGGGATTCACTTAGAAAAGTATGAAAATACAGAGTAAGAGTATTTCGAAAGGAATTTGCCCTGCACATTGGGTTTTCCCCTTTTTATCTAAACTTTGTAAGAGAAATAGATTTTTCAATTTAATAAGGTATTGTAAAGCGTCCTTAGCACACTCGTCTTGATTAGTAACTCTTTATTAAACTATATTCATAACACATTAATTAGAAACTAGGACAGTGCAAGAGTAAATTTAACCATTTCTGTCAGATGTAACATTAGTGGGGAGGGATCTCATACTGTCTTCTGACAGAGTCGATGGTGGAAGGATGAGCCGGGTTTGGGGTAAGGCTGCTGCAGCAATGGTTCTGGTAGATGCCAGGGGAGCCCAGCCAGAGCCAGCACCATCACCCAGACGACTTAACCAAGTTCTTTCTGGCAGTCATTGTTTTTAGCTTTGATTCGAGGTTTTATTATTTTTTTTCTTTTGTTATTGTTTTTAGTGGAGATTTGAAAGTAACTTTAAAATATAGTTCCTAATCTGAGGCTGTTCCTGAATTAGTGCATTTCTTATTGAATTCTTATTCTCATTTTGTATTATGTAGTACTTAGCAGTCAGTACTTCTTTAGTGCTACCTAGGCTTCATCCAACCAGTCACCTGTTTCTTAATTACAAGGCCTTTTATTTTTCTGCGAAGAGAAAAGTTTTCTCTTGAACTTTGTATTTTGCTAGCAGTTAAGGAAATTGAACTTTGGACCTTTGGTGAAATTGTTTTATGATATAATCCCGTGACCAGGATTAATTTCTTTGATTTTACTTCAGAGTTTATTTTTAAACAATTTTGATTCTCATGAATAATTGAAGTAGTTAATTTTGTTCTAAAATTTTTCAAACTGCGAATATGCAGTTTTATGGATTATTTACTTCTTCATACCCTTTTAAACACACATTTTAGTGGTTGTAGATTATGTGGATTTTACTCGAGATTAAGTATTGATACAGTAAATCCATGAACTCATTGTCACGCTCACATTGGGTTCAACTACCCCAGGTCTGGTGCTGTATCTAGAGATAAAAATCATGAGGAACAAGGCTAGGGTTTGTTTAAAGAAAAGCTAATTTGGAACAGATCTTATTTTGTGTTAATTAAACGTAGGTAAAAGTTGTCACCACTCACTCTTTTAGACATCTGATTTATGAGGGAATTTTGTTAAAATGCATATTCTTAGAAATTCATTTCCTACTGGTGAAGGGTTACTAGAAGCTTTAAGTAAGGATGTTTATGTTATGCCAATAGAGAGTAACTCTACCCCTTTTCTTACCTTTTGGACCTTTTAGTTAGCCTTTTGTTTGTTTAGTGGGTAATTCGGGACTCGTGGTGAGTTTTGTTTAGATGGCAGTAATATTTGAAGATGGCAAGGGTAAGAGAAATTAGACTTAATTGTTAGCTTCCTAAGTTTACAATACAAAAAATTCTTATTACCCTTTTTTAAGCAGTAGAAACTGGAGATTGGGTGAGGCAGCCCTTGTTAGGAAATATAGCACTGAACTCTGGTAAACCTTAAATTTGAAACTTTTCTGCTTTCTCAAATTTTGGTAGCATTTTTTTTTTTTTTTTTTTTTGCATCTAAAGTTGGTCTTTAATAACTCAAGGTTCAAGTCCTGGACTCTCTGTTCGTTGACGCCTGCAATTCTCATGAGTACTTAATGGGCTCATACCATAGTGGCAGAACAAACACTTCACATTTGGCCCTCTCAATTTTCAGGTCATTTTTATTTTATTCAGTTTAATGCTAAAATTGATTTTCTTGGAACATAACTTTGTGTTCTTTGGGAAATATATATTGTTTTCCTCTGTGATCCTGAGGTGTATTTTATAAAACCTCTTGTTAGGAAAGATACATTTCAGTGTTCTCCTCCTCCCCCACCATCTCTAATTTATGTAAATTGATGGTAAAACAAATCTCCTACATGTGTTCAAGTATCTGACTCATGAAGTCTGCATAATCTTCTCAGGTGGGTAGTTTTCATATAATGTCTTTACCCTGTAACCTCTGAGTGCTTTGTAAATTTTGTGGGCGCTTACTTAGTGTTTTGGAAGTGTGTTGAAGGATAATGTCATGTTTATGAAGCACTTCAATATTATCTACCAATTTCAAACTCTGCCCATTTCCAAGTCAGTTTTTGGCTGTGATTCGACAAAGGATAAATTTTGGTACTGAAGACTAGAACTGTGTCTACTTTGATTAACTAATTATTTTGTTTCTCTTTTAAAATTTCGAGAAAGAATTTCTTCACACATATGGCACTGGTATATTTTGGGGGAAAGAATGAATGGCCTGGATTTAAAAGCGTTCCTCAGGGTCAGCATCTCAGTAGCTCGGAGTCTGCTGTGAGAGACTTGTTTGTGGAGGAAGAGAGGCAAGTTCCTTGCTCTCCTTTTTCCTTGAACAAATATTATTCAGAACGTTTTCCAAAAAAAAAAAAAGGTGCTTAGTTTGCTTTATGAAGAGGAAATAAAAAGTTCTATTACTGACACACATTCAGTCCTTCAGTGGCACACCCACCATGTGAGGTAGCGCCGGCGATATAAAAATACAAAATAGAAAAATGAGCCAAAGTAGTCTCTGTCTTCAAGAAGCTCACACTTAAGTGGGTGCTTAATGATTCATTGGTAAGGAATACCGGTGGTAAGGGTTTTGTCTTTCTTCAGTTTTCTCCAAGTTCTTAAAAAAACTCTTTAGGCAAGTTTTAGTATGAATTTTGGTGGAAGCTAGACTAACTAGTTGCCTGTCAC